CGTCAGTCGCTATAGGAAGATGTCCACCTCGAGCCTGGTTAGCATTCTCTAAGGTCCATCAAAATTTCTGAGCGACTACCCCGTCCGCTTCAACGTATCAACTATCAAGGTTGTCCCTCATAACTAAGAAATATTTGTGGGGGTGTTCCAAAATGGACATAAGGCATGATACTTAAATAAGTCTTTCGCCCAAAATCTGACGCACATTGGCTGAAGTGGTCACCAGGGTTGAATGTTACATCAAAGGCGAGGAAAGCAACGCCAAAAAAAAAGCTTACGACGTCAAGGAACACATCCCCGGCTCCGAGAGCTCACATCCTCCAAGAAAAAATAATTACACATTTCTCGTGAAGGAAAAGTCCACGTTAATAAAAATAGGGAAGATGGTAAAACGTTTCACACCCCCGAATACTTTCCAAAAACAAATCTGGCATGAGGTGTTCCACCTGCACAACATCCCAACATCACTTGCTCCCAAGTTTGAGGTTATGGGATCTTAGCCCGAAAGGTGGTGTATGTTCTATAGAGTCAAGGAACATCATACCGAGGACTGCTATCGACTTAAGAAGGAAATAGGAAAACTTATATAGGAGGGACACCTCAAAAAATATGTGAAGGGCGACCCCTTCAACTAGGCGGAAAAACATAACCTGCGCAGGGTGAGAAGGCATCACAAGCCCTGGGTCAAACAAAGAAAAAGAGACATCTCATGGAGAGGAGAGAAAAGCGGTGAGTCACCGACTCAACACCATAGCAGAAGGATTCGTCGGAGGTACAGAAACTAGATTTGTCCACAAGAGATATGCTCATCAAATTTTAAACGTAGAAAACCTCCCTGAGGTCAAGAGCATGGAAGCATCAGAAATCGTGATTTTCTCATAGAAGGATGCATTTGGCATCCATACTCACAATGATAACCCCATGGTCATCTCATCCAAATGCGAAGGATGGGAGAATAAAAGGGTTCTGACGAACTAGGGAAGCTCTACTGACATATTGTATTGGGCCGCCTTCGAGAGACTGTGTCTCGACCCTGAAGACCTGAAGCCTTTCAGGGGATAACTCATTATATTTTTCGGAGAATGTGTACTGTTAAAAGGGTACCTAACCATGAGAATCACGTTCAGAGAACTGGACCAAGCCAAAGAAATCCAAGTTAAAAAGGACACGTTATCTAGGCATAACACCCCCCCCATTAAATAGCTACTCCTTAATGGACGAGTAAGGGTTGTTCGAGGAGATTAGAAGATCACCAAAGAGTGTGAGGCATAAAGTCTCAAGTTAAAAAGGACATGTTATCTAGGCATAAAAATAAAGAAAGACAACTTCTACTACTAATCCTTCATGATTATCGAGGATAATACCATGTGCAACTTCCTTTGCTGTTTGACGACCCATTCATGAAGATGGTCCATTTTGTGCATAGTTCTGACATTGTTGGTTTCATTTTCGCAATGAAATTTGTGAATAGTTAAGCCTTGACGGTATTTATGGATTCGAGAGAGATGTCAAACTTAGATATCTCGATTAGCCCTATGTCATTTGTCATGCTAAATATGGTATGTGAAGGATATGCTTCGGAGGTTTTTTTTGCATTCTATTATAGTGTGACAAAAAGCAGTGTGACAACTTCTTTAATGCCTTCAGAAATCCAAGGAGATTTTCTCAATTTTTTAATAGTATGTCTTCAGGCTTGCAAATTCCATTAATATTAAATATACCATACACTGGATATTATATACTTTTCTTATGAGGATTGTGCATACTTCCTTTGATAGATACAGCAATATAAAGGAATAAGATCTCCTCGACTAAGGACCTGGATAAGACCAGAGGGATGGAAAAAGAGGTTTTCAGTATTATGAAGGCTTGTTCAAACTCTGGGGTCCAATCAAATTGCACCTATGTTCTTATTATTGTGTGGAAGCACGTGTTGGGATGATCTCAAAATGAATCTTCCAAGGGCGGCGATCATTTCGTCTTCATTATCTTCTCCTTTATGGTTGAGGTTTCCATCTTGATGATTGTGTCACATTTTTCAAGGTTAACTTCAATGCTTCTTTATGATAAATAGAATCCCAAATACTTTTTCGGCTCTCATGTCGAATGTGCACTTTTTTGGATTGGGTCTCATATTATAGTGTTGGACAGAATGAACAGACTTGTGAGATGGTCGTTGTGTAACAGCTCTTCATTAGATTTGATGATCATTTCATCCATATATATACTTCCAGCATATGCTGAACTCTCCTTCAAATATCCTGTTCATCACTCCTTGGTATATTACACGCCCATTTTTTAGGCCAAAGAAAAATTATGGTGTATCTATAATCGGAGTGCTCCTTAATAAAGATTGTATTATTTCTATCTAATTTGTGCATGGGAATTTTATTTTATCCATAATAGGTATCTTTGAATGATAATAGCTTGTATCTAACTAAATTGTGTACAATTGTATGGACAATGAGTATGAATCTATGGGGTGCCTTGTTGAGGTTTATGAACATACATTCTCCATTTACCTAAAGATTTCTTTAATAGGATGATATTGGAAAACCTCTCAGTATACTTCAGTTCATAAACAAGTTTAGTCCTCGAATTGTGTTCTTGATAGCTTTGGTTTTTTCTAGTGATTGGCACTTTCTCCTTTGAACCACATACCAGTCAGAGGGGTTGATGTTCAACTTATGACAGGTCACATTATGGTCGATGTCGGGCATCTCATCCAGGGGAGGACGGAGAATTTGGTGTTGGTCTTAAGGCACTTAATGATTTCTCTTTCCTCAAAGTCAGGGATGATGAGTCCTATTTTTATCGATCTAGTTTAAAATCAACATCACAAATTTTGATGCATATTTAGACGAGATCGCATACGAAAATGAACTTAACCTCCAGACTGAAGCAAAAGTGAATATCTCGAGATCAATTTCAAGTGATGAAATGTAAGTCTATCTTCCTCATATATGTTTCTTCTTCAAGCGGCCACGTAAGGTGATTATCTCCCTCTTTCCATCCCTAATTCTTCGGAGAGCTTTACATACATGAAGTTACCTGGGCTTCTCCATCAATCAGACCTCTTGACACTTTGTGATTGGCTATTATGAACTTTATTACCAATGGAATACTTTGTTGGAGATACCGTCTACCTTTTTCGCTATCTTTGAACCCAAAATGTATCTCTCCTCGTTTGGTTTTTGTTATTCGTTCTTCTTTTTCGATCCCACGACTTGTTTCTTTGTCGTTTTCTTGAGAGGTTCTTTCAGGTGGGATGATCTTCTGGTAATTGAAGAGGGGAAGGGATATGAGTCTTGTCGGTGATAGAGGGGCAGGGAATAAAGGAAATAGAATAGAAGCGAAAGTTAAAATACATGATTTATTATTCAAAAGATTACAGTAGCTTTTATAAAGCCTTACAACTTAAATTTAATTGAAATAGAGAAAATAAAGAAAAATAGAATATAACAAACTTGAATAAATCAATTCCTAAAAACTATCTTATTTGGACCTATTTTTTTTAGCTTTAAGCGTAAATCCAACAAACTTCTCCCCTTAAACTGCACATGCAGACATGCTTAACCAGCGTCCTCCTCGAGTCATTGAACACCAAGTAAACCTCTAAGTTTCACAAGCTGATCCAACTTAATAGGTTTAGTCATTATGCCGGCCACTTGATCATCAGTTCCACAAAATGCTAACTTCACGACTCCTTCATTTGATAAATTGCATAGATAATAATATCTAACATCAATGTGTTTTGTCCTTCGATGCATGACTGAATTCTTGGATAGTTTAATTGGTGAACTATTATCACACGTTATGTGAATGCAATTAGTCTTTGAAGCTTTACTCTTTCAAAATTCTTTTCAGTCATGGGATGTTCATAAATGTTTGACTTTTATTTTAATCACTTATAAAATAAAACAAACGGATGATGATGATGAATATTTTTTACACTGACAAATGATAATTAATCTTATATACTATGAAACGAAAGTGTATGATAATTAATCTTATATAATATGAAACGTACAAAAACACAAACATATAAATTTAACACAATAAAATTTAGGTACCCATTAACTAAACAATATTATTATTATTATGAATATCAGCTTATATTTGAATAACAAAATAGAATTCATATTTATTATGGATGTCAATTTATATTTACATAATAAAATGAAATTCATATTTATATTGACATTTAATTTGAATTTTTAAATATGAAAACAATTTGGATATCAATTATTCACACCCACCCCTAATTGAGAGGTCCATTTTTGGAGAATACATGGAAAGATTGACGTGGAAAGATTTGTGTGCTTGGTTAGTGGAGATTGCTAATTACTGGTAGCTTCCGTGGTGAAGGCTAGTGAAGCAGAAGGAAATGGTTAAATATTCTGTTGAAATTATCTCATGCCCCAGTTATTTTAGAGGTGGTGATAGTAGAAGAGCCATTCTTTCTCGAGTCATTTCATTTTTCATGGGGCTTAACACATCTTGTTCTAACACTTGCGAATTCATTATTAGAAACAGGTTATGTAACTGTCTTTTTTTTTAAATGCGAGTATGTTCTTGACATTGATTTATAGAACAGGTTATGAAACCGTCTTTTCCTTAAAATTGTATTTCTACAGGAATAACTGATATATTGCAGACAAAGTCCACTCAAATTTAATTGATGTGCTCCCAATAATAACCCGGCTATTTTCTGGGAAATACATGCAACTGAATATAATGCACTCAGAACATTCTACATTTGTCTTGTATATCACACTCAGATTAGTTGTTTGTAAGTTTACATGTTCTTTAAATTTTAATAATAAATAGGGATCGGGTCAGACAGGCTTAGAGGGGAAGCTGCTGCTGTGCTGTATATATCCTCGCTTATCAGACAAGTTGATAATATAAATATTTATTTACAAGCATTCCTCCTCCCTGCACTCAAATTTGCACTTTTGACAGATTCAACTTGACATTAGACCTCTAAAAATGTCTAATCATCTCCTAAGGTGATCTCTCATAAAGAATGAATGTCTCAGAGCATCCCTAGCTGTAACTCTTTCAAAGGGGTCAAACCTAAGTAGCCCCTGCAATAGATGTATAAGATCTCCAGCCGAATGATCGACATGCTGCATTATAAGGTTCTGCAATTATTACGAGAGAAAAAGAGTGAGTGAAACCCAGTGCTTTTTCAAGAATTGAATAGAACTTTTCTATGGCCAGATTTGAAAACAAACCTGCAGACGAGGAAGCTTCATTACAGCTTTAATACTCTCCCTCGAAGTTGCACCCTCTGGCCAGTCCAGTCTCCCCCTTCGGACATACTTCTCAGCATGTCGACTGGATCATAACAGTAAATAGAAACACAAGTTATTTCAATACGAATAAAATAAAAATCATAGAAAGTTCCTGCAGTCAATTGTTACTTACTCGACTCTCTTCAATAACTGCTGTGGTAATGGACCAAGCACCCTCTCCATCATGGCAAGATGCTCTAAATTCTCATGAGTCTGAAACAAAGCTTCACCCTGCAGTAGAAGCATACAAGCCAATTTAAACACAAAGCTAAAACACAACAGAAACTAGCTGATGATTTTCAGAAGTATACAGAACCAAACTTACAGTGCATAACTCGACTAGTATACAACCTACACTCCATACATCACATGGATAGCTCCACCCAAGTCCTACAAAACATTTATCAAAAATCAACTATTCAGTCAGCATCAACAGCACCATTTAAAGCATTAATCACAAGAAACGGCACTCTTTACAATACAGCAATTATTGTTTGATGTGTGTATGCATACCAAGTATAACTTCAGGTGCCCTATAATGACGTGTTGATACAATGTAATTCTGGTTTTCTCGTTCATACGTAGTGCTGCCAAAATCAATAACCTTTATGGCGCTTGACTTGGGCACTCTTTTGAAAAAGGAGAACGGTGCTCTGGATGAACTCTGTTGATTATACAACAATGGATGTCATGTAGTGCTACCAACAATTCATTTTGCAACTGTTATTTAAGCTAACATCCCATACCAATATACATTTAAAAGATAAATCTTATGCATCAAACAAAAATAATTTTTTTCTTGAAGCGTTAGATTTGAACATGAACATGCCTTGTCTAATACGATTATGTATAAAATAGCTAAAATACGTGAGAAAATAAAACAGGTTCATAGACAACAAAAGTACCTTGTAATCAGGTACTTTAAGATACTCCGATGAAACCAGAAGAATGTTTTCAGGCTTCAGATCAGTATGGATCATGTGTAAGTCATGCATGACTGCAATTTTTAGAAAAGCAAAACACCATTAGAAAACCATCCTTCATTGATCAAAATCAACAGACACGTTGCATGTAGCGCATAAGTGCTACAGTAGTTCAAGAAAAGTTGTTCAAGAATAAACTACACACATGCTACACATTCCAATAGTTGTCTTCCAATCTCGCGAACAAGATCAATGGGAAATGAACGATAATTGTTTTTCCTTAGAAAATCGTATAAGCTTGGTCCAAGTTTCTCAAACACCTGTTGCAATCATTTGAATTCACCCACGTCTTAACCCCCAAAATTAGGTATATTGGGGAAATTAATCCACACAAATCAATCAAATACTTACAATACAGATATGATTACGATAGTCAAACCAGTTCCGTATTTGCACACAACTGCAAGGAATAAACCCATTTAACGGATGCAATGGAATAAACGGTGGTGCATTATAGTAACTAAACCTCAAAAAACTTACCGATTGCCACCTTTATCATGTTTTGCAAGTTGCTGCAGCATCTCAATTTCAATCATGGCTGCCTCTCGATACTTTTTAATTGCACGAACAACTTTAATGGCGACCATTTCCTTCCTTTCTCTGTCCCAACACTCCAAGACCTGTCCAAAAGTTCCTTCACCCATTTTTCCATGGACCTTATCTGTAATCATGTAAAAGGGGTGTTAACAATCCAAGCATAGCACACAAAAACTCCACACTCCATTTTTACACAATCAACGTTTAAAATGGTTCTAAATCTTGAAATGTGCACAACTTTGTTATTGTTATTAAATGCTTCCTAAACCTAAAACAGGAATACTTAAGTTGTAAGTTCTTAAAATTAAGTCCCCATTTGAAAGTTTATGGATTGGATACAAATCTACGAGCTAAATTTCAGTTACATGACTGGTTTAATTTAAACACACTGTTGAGCCAGCCAACCATGACATAAGAATATAAACTTGTTATTAACTAATGATGGTAAAGTGTAATTACAGCGAGAAGTTAAATTATCTCCAAGCTCAAACACGTAATGGCCATCTTTGTCGTCATCTCGCCATGGGGGAGAACCATTTCGAGCAACTCCCTTAAATAGAGAACTAGTGATATGTTCTGAAGGAGCATAGCTTGAAATATTCTCAACCTCTTGTCCACAAAACAATCCTACCTGAGCCTACACACAGTAATCCATACATGTACCACTTTAAAAATAGTTAACAGAAACACCATCATGATTTCAGAACCTACGCATTTGTCCCCATCACAAATCATCACAAAATAAATAATCATTCAACAACATCAAAATAAACATCAACAAATACATATACAAACATACAATTTCATAAAAAATATATATAATTAAACTATTATTTTGGGTTGATGAAAAGTTATAAATCGACCAAAACCCTAAAATTCAATCAAACAAAATAGGGGAATCGTTAGATAAAAGCTGAAAGCTTTATAAGAGGAAAAGAATCAACTTTACCTGAATCAAACATCAAACATACCTAAAACACAAATAATCCACCAGATCTACAACAATAGACAAAGAACCACCTCAAAAAACACTAGATCTGAGATTTTATGATGAAAAATAAGGTTACCTTTGAGGTTTCGGGAATATCCCAGCCCAACCGCGCCCTCTTTCGTGGGGGACGATCCATGTAAGTGCGTGAGAATTCAACCATGCGCTCCATCTCCATGATTATACGAGGAAAATCAAAGGAAGTTGGGAAGAACGGTGAGTTTCAGGTGAAAGTAACGATAAGGATTGTTTGGACACAGTGAACCCTAAATTTCTAACAGCTTAGTTGAGTCGGTTATGAGGAAATAGGATCGTACATTTGATTGGTTGATTTGGTTGTGGTCTTAACTACGTGGTATGGTTAAGGATTGTGCTTGCTTTAACCATGGTTTAAGAATGCTGTTTTTTTTTCTTTTTGTATTTTGGTTTAAGTGGTATGCTTTTTTTTTTAATGAAAAAAATAACCAACATTTCACCTTCTAAAATTCAATATACCCAACATTATAACATATATTTTAATCTACCCTAGTTTCACGTTTTTTGAATTTTTATTTATATAGAGACGCCATAGGTGATGGAGGCACCCTTATAAATTATAGAGGGAGTCATCCCCTTTGGCGCCTCCTTTTAACATTAAGGAAGGGGAGGCAACCCCTATGACGCTTCCCTTTAACTTTAAAGAAAGCGAGTCAACCCCTATGGCACCTCCCTATACTATTTTAATATTTTATTGGTGCAACAACATGAGAGACGTAGGTAAAGGAAGTGCACAAATAAAATATTAATAAATGGTAAAGGGAGGCGCCATAGGTGTTGGCTCCCCTTCTTTAAAGTTAAAGGGAGGCGCCATAGGGGTTGGCTCCCCTTCCTTAATGTTAAAAGGAGGCGTCAAAGAGGATGGCTCCCCCTTATAATTTATAAGGGTGCCTCCAACACCTATGACGCCCCTATACAAATAAAAATAAAAAAAAACGTGAAACTAGGGTAGATTAGAATATATTAAAAATAAAAAAAAATGTGAAACTAGGGTAGATTAGAATATATGTTGAAATGTTGAGTATATTAAATTTTAGAGAGTAAAATGTTGGTTATTTAGGTGAAAAATTCACACATACAACATCAATTTTTTTAATCAAATTATTGAAATTTTTCTTCAATTTTATAATTATGAAGGTTTAACATGTACTTGTGCTGTATGTTTTTATTATTGTGTTAAAATTCAAGACATCATTGGCTGAATATATTTTATAGATGTGCATGTAAAATTATCAAGCGTGCTTTTGATAAGGTGTTAAATATAAGCATATCTACTCTAGAAGATGCTATTGAAGATTGATATTGATGGTTGTGGTTAATTTGATTGTCTATTAAGGGTGATTAAGTATTTGATTTTTTTTGTATTAAACACAAATTTTCTTTTTTATCGTTGTATAATCCATGTAATAGTCTAAAATTAATTGAATTAGATCATGGATAATGCACTATTGTTTTCAAGTCTCATTAAATTAGAAGTGGCTGTGCTTAAATAAAAATTAAGCCTAGGAAGTCTTTAATCCATATTTTTTCTCTATAAATCTTACTTCTTTCACTACATGATTTTTTTTTTTAATTCTGTTAAAAATATAGTTATTTTTTTAAGACATATTTTGCAACAGGTGTGGTGAGGCAGCGTCCTCGTTAGTTTGTTTTCTTGTCTTTTTTGTTTCTAATAAAAAATAAAGATTGTGTGTTTGTTTGAATAGTCTTCTCAAATGGTTATGACCGCCCAGACTTGCTCGTATATAAGATTCAATAAGATAAGATTAAATCTACAACATATCTTGTTGCACTTTGCAAACTAAACTCCTCTGTTCTATAAAAAATGGTTCAGCTCCAATGGCTCTGGGAAAGCTATACACCATTCCTCCTCTGTGTATCCATTTTCATACCTCTATTGATGATACTTCTCTTTGTAAACAACTCAAGAAAGAGAAAATCCAATCTACCTCCTGGTCCTCTTACCATACCCTTCATTGGAAACCTCCACCAGCTTGGCACCATGCCTCACATATCTTTACAAAGCCTTGCAGACAAATATGGACCCATAATTTTCCTACAACTTGGACAAGTCCCAACAGTGGTTGTCTCATCAGCTAGACTAGCAAAGGAAGTGTTGAAAACTCATGATCTTGCACTTGCAAGCAGACCAGAGTTGTTTTCAGCCAAGTACCTTTTTTACAACTGCACAGATATTGCTTTTGCTCCTTACAGTGCTTATTGGAGACATGTGAGGAAAATTTGCATACTTGAGCTTCTGAGTGTCAAAAGAGTAAACTCGTATAGTGCTGTTAGAGAAGAAGAAGTTTCTAGTTTAGTTCAAAGGGTTGCAGGGTGTTATCCAGGAACTACCAATTTGTCTAAGATGTTGGGACAGTATGCAAATAATGCTATTTGTCGTGTAGCTTTTGGAAAGGACTTTTCAGAAGGAGGAGAGAGTGAAAAACATGGGTTCCAAAAGATGCTTGATGAGTATCAGGAACTCCTTGGAGGATTCAGTGTTGGTGACTTTTTTCCTTCGCTCGAGTTCATACATAGCTTGACCGGTATGAAAGCGAGACTCCAACATACTTCAAGAAAATTTGATCAGCTCTTTGATCAGATAGTGAATGAACACGAGGCTTGTGATAAAGTGAAGGAGCATAAGGACCTTGTAGATATTTTACTTGAAGTGCAGAAGAATGGTTCGGGCGAGAATGAAACGCCTCTCACCACCGATAATATCAAGGCAATAATCCTGGTAAGTGAAGCCTTAATAACAACCATGTTTTGCTTAGTTGACAAATGACAAGCTCATAATATTTCTTTTTGCAGGATATGTTTGCTGCTGGAACTGATACAACATTCATTACGCTTGATTGGGCAATGACAGAGCTGTTAATGAATCTTCATGTTATGGAAAAAGCACAAAGGGAGGTGCGTAGCATCCTGCGAGAAAGAAGAGTTGTTGCAGAAACTGACCTGCATCAACTGCAGTACATGAGAGCTGTCATTAAAGAGACATTTCGCTTGCACCCTGCAGTACCGGTATTAGTCCCAAGAGAATCCATGGAAGATATTACCTTAGAAGGGTATACAATTCCGGCTAAAACAAGAATTTTTGTCAATGCTTGGGCAATTGGCAGGAATTCGGAAAGTTGGGAAGATCCCGCTGCATTTAAACCAGAGAGATTTTTAGAGAGTAATATTGATTATAAGGGGAAGGATTTTGAGCTAATACCGTTTGGGGCAGGTAGAAGAGGTTGTCCGGCTATTACATTTGCCATTGCAGTTGTTGAGCTTGCTCTTGCTCAACTACTCTATAGCTTTGACTGGGAGCTTCCTCCTGGTATTACAGCAAAAGACTTGGATCTCACTGAAGTTTTTGGCATTTCAATGCACAGGAGAGAAAATCTTCTTGTTGTTGCTAAGCCTTATTATCATGTGAATACTCTGTGTAACTAATATCAACTTATAATTTTCTCATCAAAGATTAAAACGTTATCAGTATACTTTATAATTTGGACAAACTTAGAGCATAAATATCGGTGTGCTCACATATTTCTATACAATATTTAAAAGTCACATGTAAGAGGTTGTCGGATAATTGAAAAAAATAGTGTGACTTGGTTTGTGACCGTTCAGGCTTATGAACGATTTTCTTTGTCAGCTAAATCAAATATCTAATATAATATAATATAAAAATTATGGGTATAGTGTGAGATTTGGTGAAATCCATTTTAAAATTTTTGATGAATTGTATAAATATTTGAAAAATGTAGTTGAATTGTTTAGAAAATATAGAAGTGTAATATAATATAAAAAATTGTGTGGGTTCCATTTAAAAAACCAAAATGAAGATGATGGGTGTAAATGCTCTTAGTTTTGAGTTTTCTACTTTCTTTTAAAAACTATGCTATTTCTAGTGATTTAAGAAAAATGGAAGAAAAAAAAAAGATGTTCATAATTCACATCCATAAACATAAGGATTTCTAAAAATAAAAAAACTTGAAATCAAAAGTTCGAGGGGACTAAAGAAAAGAAAAAAGTTAACAGAAACTATTTTCATTAGTTTGCACTTTGTAACACCTGCAATCTATGTGATCAAGTGTATCTAAAAGTTGTTTATGATGCACAAAAATCAGCTCGAATAAGAGACGAAGAAAGAACTGTAAAAAAATATGGTAGTCAAATATTGTGGTCATGGTAAAAGATTATGATCAAAGATTGTGATTCAATACAGTCACAATTTGTGGACCAAGAAAGAATCACGTATGGTTTTGTAATAACTCTCATAGTTTTGTAACAACTCTCGTAGTTTTGTGAAGATGAGCACCTATTAATAAAGGTGCATTTCTCATTTCTAGTACAACAACACAAAAAAAAACATTGCAACATAACATAAAAGAAAAATTTAGAGAGATAGAATATATTGTATTTTCTCCTATAAGATTCTTTTAGTAAATATTCTCCTATTACAAGAGAGGGAGTGTAATTTATTCTCTCCTTGTATATATAGAGAGAAGTGTTGTAATTTTTTTCACTTAGTGAAAATCTTTTCTACCGGTGTCCGTGATTTTTTCCTCATTTGTTGAGGGTTTTCTACCTAAATATTCTATCACTTTTCTTATTTCTCAATCTCTTATTTTTGTGATATTTATTTTGCTACTCTCGTACCCAACAAGAACAAGGAACTGAGAAGCAGCTGTGATTCGTCAACCATTTGGTTTGGTAATTTTGTTTGCTACAACTTGATTTTGCAATTTTGGGAAGGCAGTGGAAATCAATAAACTTAAATGCAACATCTGTTATAAAATGCCTCGTCCTTTTCTGAAAGGATCATCAACCTGATATAACAAGGAAAGATGAAAATTCTAAATGGATACAATTAGAACACAACCATACACACAATAAACCTTAATTTAACCAGCATTGAGAGGGTTTCTGCAAAAATATAATCCCGGTTCAGAATTCATATAGTATATCAACGGCATCAATACACATATTCATGCCAAAATATTAACATTAATGAAGCAGTATCATGACATTGTTTGAGTTCTGGAAATTTCTAAGAAACATACAATTTGGCCGAAAAAGCTCATATTGTGCATAGCCACATGGAAGAAACCTAAACTAAAATCTCTTAGCTAAACTTGGATTTATAATCATGTAGTGACTAGGAACCTGCTAGTAAATCTAACAAAAGGATGGGTTCTGCCGAGGGTCGGGATTCAAAATTGAGTTCCTCAGCCTGTTGTCTCTATTTTCTCATCCACAACAAAGAACATTGTTTACACAAGGACTAATCAATAAATCAAGTGTAGCCGTAGTATCTCAATGGGTCCTGATTTCCTGAAGATAGCGTCCAACTTGCTGAGCACCGATAAATAATGCATCGGCAACAAGAAATAGTCCAATCTATGCAACAACCATTCAAATTTGATGTCAAGATTGAGAAAACAATTCACAAATTAAAGCATATAACATATAGATTACCAGGCGTGCAGAAAACATTAATCTGTATCCCCAGCCTTCCTTGGCAGCAGCAGCTCGCTGTTGATCTGTCCAACTGGAAAGAATCTTGCAGTCAGAAATTTGTATACACGTTTCAAAATTGTTTGAATTATTTAGATTGTATAAAGTCTCATTTGAAATATATATCATGCAATTACGTCTGTGCAATTATTATGCCCACAAGCTAGGGACATTCTGCTACATACAGGGAAAGTTGTCATCAAATAGATGATGAATCACAACTCAAATCTGTGTAATATTCTCTTAATATTAAATTTCTTTCATGTTCTGCAGGCGGAAAAGTAATTTATACAATTTTTTGTGCTACTATTGCCAGCAAGAATTTACAGGATCGTTTACATGAATTCATGGCAATCTGGAAATACATAACACAGGGTTCCTATGTCATTTCTCACTGAAATGTTCCAACATATGAAAAAAGTAAATTTCTCTTTTTTATTCTTTTTAGAAAGAAAAAAAAAATCACCATACAAGCATCAACTTAAAATTCTGCCTCTGTCAATAACCAAACAGTGATAGTGATTTTGAACTTTATTCGTGTTACCAACCAATCATAACTTGTAAGAAGTATAATGTTCTATGTGGCATGAATTCATGATAAAAACATTGCAAACAGTATAAAGTACAAAATAATTCATGTTATCCATTGGAAAAAACTTTAATTAAATAGGCCATATTAGACTTCATCAATGATAATACATTTCATGCATTAGAAGTAAGGGAAAAAGGGGAGATTGGATAATTACCCAAGGAACTCTGAGACACCACCAATTCCAGCAAACTTGAGTGGCACTGAACCCTCCACTACAAGATCCTGCTCTCCACAACAGGCCATAAGGATTAGGCTCCCTAGTTAAGTTATTTTTACTTTCCAAAATTTAATCAGAGTAAAACACAATATATCTTTGTGTTTGGAGCAATGACACGCTAGTGAGGTATTAACTGAGTTCCATCTATTGCTGGTTGAAAACTATTTTCAAACCCCTTCGAGCCTAGATTAAAACCGGCCTTAGAGAATTTCTAGAAGGGCTCCCTTTTTGGGTAATGCCCTAAAAAAGACAATGGAAAAAATTTCAGAATATTGAAATGGGAAAACATGCCTCTTCTTCAGCAGCCTCGAAGCCTCCTTGAACCCAGAACAGGTTTTTGTAGCCAGCATTGTACAGTTGTTCACATGCAGCTAAGGATCTAGCCAAAAACCAGGTTCAGTACAACACCAGATTTACATTGTATGTTGGTTTAATAGAAACTTGTGAAATGATTAGATGGATCACCCACCAGAATTTGACTGAACCAAAGATTTAAAAATTGAAATGTGATTCAAAACACAAGTGGCTGTACCAATTACCAGCACTTTAAGGAAATGGAAATTATAATTTGAAGCAACCCAATTCAGTATGCGATCAATTGAATGAATAGATCTCACCTCAGTCCCTTCTGGCATGCAACGATTAACTCTGCATCTTTGGGGAACTTCTCCATAACTTTGGGTAAGAACGAGCTGTTGAAGAGAGGAAAGAAATGAATAAATAAAATTTAAGTAAACAGAGAATTAGTCAGAAGAACAAAGAAATAATAGTATATGATACTTCATACTTGTCAAAAGACAGTGTAGGCATGCCACTCCACCAACCGCCTATTCAAAACATCGAGTCAAATGTAAGAGAATTTCAATGAAATTGAGTGATTGATTGCATAAATGTAATGAAAGAACCAGCACAGATCTTTTAATACCCATAGCAAAATTTGTTACTTTTCTGGGAATAGTTCCAATATCTAGTCCATCATCGACATCGAATATTGGAATCCAGGTCGAACCTTTCACCCATGCCTTCAAAACATGCAAAAATAGCAACCATAGATCACAACAATAATATGTGGATAGTTTGCAAGAAATGAAAAACAAAAGTAGAAGACTCAAATTACTTATTTGCAATAAGAACTAGAATTATGAAAGTCGAAGAGAATCTAATACTTTCAACAGCTACTACAAAGATAAGTTACTCGTAATAATTAGCTTCATGAATGCATGACTCGTAGGAGAAAATATGTAAATAACTAAATCATATGATATCGGGAAAGGTGAAAAAAGAAAGGGCTGCATCATAGGAGAAACCTTGTTGTGTTCATTTGAGGGGCGAACATCAAGAAGGGGCTTGTTTGAAAGCTGAACTGCATACCCAGCTTCCCTTGGAGTAAGAATCTTAATTTTTTCTTCCCTGAGCTACAAAAACAAACAAACAAAAACCCTATTAAATCCTCATAACCAACCCCGTACGAAAGCCGCAGTATGAAATGGTTCCTTAGTAGAAAATAGCTATAATATGAAAATTCAATTAAACTAGAACTAGAACTAGAATTTAGAAACTCTCCAATTTGTATTTCACTTATATTATACACAATCACCGAAAGAAATTGAATTAAAAAAGTAAAATAATACCAAAGCTTCCCATCTCTTCTTGGCAGCAGCCATATCCCTCACTTGCTTCAATTCAAAATCTTCATTCTCAGCTTGTACACGAACAACACTCTTCTTCTGTAAGAGAAAATGCAACAAATATCAATTTTTGCACACAATCATTGTACAATTACAAAACCAGAAACCTAGTAATAATAAGGAAAGAGGGAAAGAAGAAATAGAAACCCTAGTGAAGAGTGTGGTTGAGGTAGAAGGACGGTGTTGTAAGGAAGAGAGTGAGGCATAACTAGAAGCAGCGCTCAGAGAAACGTGGTTGAGATTGGAATTGGTAACGGTGATTGTGGGAAGGGAAAGAGATAGTGCTTCCATAATAATTAGATTAAAGAAAAAAGCACTTAAGTTGAAAATGAAAATGGGTTATTGTAATTTGTATCCTCTGCATGCACTCTAACTAACTACAGAGACAATGACCCCATTATCTAGATTCTGTAACTGTTCTTATACCTTACCCTTATCTCGGAGTACATAGCGATTTTGAATTCATGAGTGACTTGGAAAATACTGTTTGGCAAAATAATAAATATACATTTTAATTATTTTCTTTTATAACAAACCCGTGCAAACGCATGGGGAATATGATTTTAAATGTGAATTTGTTTTTAAATTGTAATAATAATAGAAAGTTGAAAAAAGAAAAAAAAAAGTAAAAATAATAATATATTTAAGTTAAAATAATAGTACAGGTAGAAGATTAAATGTAAATAATAATATTATAAATAATATAATTAAAAATAAAAATTATTTAAAATTATATTAAATAAATAAGTTGTTTTAAGTTTTTTACAAATAAGTCAATCATTTTTTAAGAGATAATACAATTTACTCAATTTTATTTATTAATCTCTCTTAATCTTTTTCACATATTTACAAAAATGATCGATAAATTTCTGTTATTTAATATTTGAATTTATAGTAAAATTATTCTCGTTTATAATAGTAGTATTTTTTTCGTAAATAAATAACAATGTATTTTTTTCGTATATATTAATATTATTTATAAAAAAAATTAATCAATAGTAAAATTATTCCCGTATATAAAAATATTTGAATCAACAATGTATTTTTTTCTTATATAAATATTATTTTTATTTTGATAATATTCACAAAATTATTTGAATCAATAGTAAAGTTGTTTTCATTTATAACAATAACTGTTTATAGAAACATTGGGATCAAACAATAAATATTTTTTAGACTTATATATAATTTCCACACATATTTGTTTTTAAAATACAATAAAAATAAAATGAAAGAAAGACAAAATTGTTTATAAAAAAAATTATTATTTTTAAAAGAGATGATAAATCAGTGTTTGTAATTTTTTTATATATATAAATATTTGAATAAGTATATGTTTTTTCTAATGTTGATTTGACTTAGTCAAAGTCAATAAACTTGTTTCTCTCTCACTTATATGAGGACTCTCTTACTTTTGGACAAAACAAAAAAATAACGTGAAAAACTCTTCTTGTCTATCATTTCTTATTCCTTATAGTTTTTCTGATTACATCATCCGGTCAATATGTTTCTTGTTGTTCTGTTACCTTAGATTCGTTCTGGGAAGAGCCGGCTGAATCCTGAGGGATTTGTGCGCATGAGGTGGATAAATTTTTAAGGACAATGTTCTTACACATCTCAGGTTTTTTTAACGTTTATTATTTTGCAGGATTAATATTTGTGATTATCAGAAGATGTGATCAAGTTTCGTTGGTGCCAAATTGTAAAACATGTTATTTTTCATCTTTCTTCTACTACCATCTAATAAAACAAAAATTATTTTATCTTGCTACTACCATCTTTCTTATACCTTTTTTATTCTCTTAGATTCATTACTCGTAGCTACGATTGTGGTAGTAATCAAACTTACCAAAACCCAAACATAATACCCATTGATGAGTGAATCAGAAAAACCAAATTTCCAACCATAAAATTCATTTGAAGAAGAATCAGAAACACCAAATCGGAAATAGTGCAGGTCAGAATAAAGAATGTTAAAATAATAGGTGAAGTTCATAGCTTTAAATGAAGAAAAAAGAGATAAATCCAGTTATTTAGAAGCACACAAGTGAAACCATGGATCAAGCAGAATGGAAAACAAAAAAAAAACTGAAAAATAGAAGATCAAGAAGAATCAAGACGAAAAAAGCATGTTTGTGTGAGGTTAGGACACACCACCTTAAAATATTGTTTTTGTTCGAATGAGCTATTGTTGTAGTTTGCAAAAATTGATATGGTTGAAGAATGAGATGTTATAGTTGGAGAGAGACAAAATGAAAGAGACAATGAGGTCGGAGAGAAAAAAAAAAGGGTTGGTAGAAATCAATACTGGTATTGAGAAAAGAAGGAAAGTGATATATTGAAAAAAAAATTTAGTTCTACAAAATTTGCATTGGAAAACAAAATTGTTAAAATGTTGCAACTCAAAAAGTTTGTTTTAAACTACAAGTTGGACAAATATGAGTCATTTGAAATAAAGCAAAAGTCAATAAGGTTTATAGTAAATCATGTACTTAGGAATGATAATTTGGTTGCAAAAGGTAAGTTTTAGATGCAAAATACCCTCAATTTGATGATGTGTCAATTTTAAAGACAAAGGCATTAAAGCGTCTTCCACAACATGTTATTTTCTCATATTATAAATTTATGTGAAATTAAATAAAAATGTTATTCTTGTAGTACCTTTTTTTAAAAATATAAAATATAGAATTTTTATTTGGGTGTTTGAACTACTTAACTAAAAATTTATAAAAATATAAAATAAAGACGGAACGTTAAAAGAATAAAAATACGTGACATAACTTGTGTGATTAATAAATAGACATTCATGAACTTTTAGGATTGATAAAGTAGGGGAAAATGACATAAAAATATATGCATTTTTTCCATCATTCTTCCAAATCTTTGGCGAAAATTCAAAAATATCTTCGATTTTTAGAGATGCATCTCTGAACGTACCGTTCTTTTAGTTTTTCAAAATTTAATTCAGAGATGTATCTTCGTATTTATTTTAGGGTTTATTTGCATATGCATCTCTAAAATAACCCTTAATTTCAAATCCAAAGGGATATTCAAAGATGCACCTCCGAACGTGTTAAATGTATATATATCGTGTCAGACCCTTCCTCTTCTCCTTCTTCATTTTTTGAAACTTTTTCATCCTCAAATTCAAGCAACATTGGAGCTCGTAGAAACATACTTTCATCCCATTTTCCAAGCTTCTTCAAAGATAATCACTACCTCTGCTTCAAGCATTTCAATTCCAACTAACTACACTTATTCATCCTTAACACCTTTTTAGTAAGTTTTTCATTTAACTTATTTTGATTTTGTTTATTAATGTATCAGGTAAAATAGTTTGTTATAAAAGCATTAGGTAGTAGTCAAATTTATAATAGATAGTTGTTAGAGACATACACTATGATTTAATTGCATTCTAGGTTATTAGGGCAAGACTTATATCAGTTTCTGCCATTGATATAAACACGAGCTTTTTTGGAGATGCATCACTGAATTGGTGGTTTACTGGTTTTCAAAGATGCATATCCGAAATTGTTCTGGATGCAAACTGAAGTCTTTTTCTCGTATTGTTTCAGGAAAAATGGTTGCAAACAACGATGACAGACTGAGACTTGACCGTGAAATCTAAAATGCGTTTGTTTGACGTGAGAGAGCTAGGCTTTAGAATGAGTAGACTAGAGTTAGGCAAGGAACCGTCCTTAGGCCTCTTGAGGGGAAATTATCAACTTCTAGGAGACGCCTCTCACATGGGTCATCATCCTAGGTGTACATCTCCCCTAATCACGTAGATCAGGAGGAAGTTTCTACTGTTGCACATGATAATGTTCCTCCACTTGTATAGCCTTTTTTCAGGAGGGCCCTCTGACACCTCCTTACTGATAAACTATAGAGATCATGTTGATGGGCATATCTGGGCCGAAGAGGTATTTTTGTTAACGATTTTTATTTATAAGTTTTAAACACTTGCCCTGCGACTACTAGAGGTGCACATGCCAAAGTTTTTTACTTGGACATGCTATATTAAAACATCTTGGAGTTGGCCGAGAATGCTGATGATGATGATCTATAGGTTACTTACCACCAGGAGTGTGCTCTGAAATGTTTCCTCATATTATTAGTCAGCACGTCCATTTTGTTGGAACAAAATTAATTGTCCCATACGCCTTAGATTTTGATGATAACAAAGTATTTAAATAACAATTGGGTATACTAATATATGATCAAGTATGCAGGGTCATAGGCTGAAATCTCATGAATAATCAAAGTATTGGTTATGACTATGAACATATAAAGAAAAGCTTAAAGACCAAAATCGGATGGATCAGAAGCTGAAGACCAGACTCTGAAGAAGTCAACTTCTAAAGAGGTCAACGTCTGAAGGTCAGAGTCTGAGTGAGTCAGCCTTTAAAGACCATACCTTGAGTAAGTTTTCTTCTGAATATTTGAGTCTGATCCAGTCAAAGCACAAGGACCAAGGCGACTCTGATAGGTCATTGTTCATCTTTGAGCCTACTTAGTCACGTGAAGACCTAAAGTTATTTTTCTTAATAGAGTCGGCTCATATGCAACTGATAATTCCTCTTGCAGCAAAGGAATTTCACACAAGATTTTAACGACATTAACCATTTGAAGAAACATATCAACATTTCTAATCAAGCTTCTCAAGGACTTTATTGTGTTGGATCTTCAACGACTCTTGTCCTTCTTTATTTAAGGAGCTGAAGACTGGAATTTATTTATCGACTAACGTAGTTCCCCAGCTCTAGAAAGAGATCATGCAACATACATGTTTTAGAGAAGCCTTTGGTTTGGGAAAGTATTTTAGGGGCGAATATTACCCATGGCAAATATAATTAAACATATTACTAAGCATGTTCAAAGGCAATTGAGTGGTTGGAAGTAACAATGTTTAAGGTTGGACGAAAGAATTAAGTTGAGCAAATCAGTGTTAAGTTCTATCATCTACTTCGATATGAATTATGCAAAAAATCCCTACTATTATTAGTAATGGGGTGGAAAAGATTCAACGAGGATTTATATGGGGAGACACAGACAACCCACCAGTCTCATTTGATTAGTTGTGAGGTTTATTGTATGTCTAAATAGCATGGTCGCTTAGGAATCAAACGACAAAATGATTGAATGTTGCAATTTTTTAAATGCTTTGAAATTTATTGATTAATCTTAATAATTTATGGTGTTAGATTCCCATTAATAACTATCGCAGATATCAAAAGTTGTTTGAGAATATAATTTACAAGTTGAATGATTATTCGTTATGAAAATCTTTA